CGTTATTTTGCCCTCGCTTCAGGTGTGAGGACACCTGTATGCTGCATAATCCGTAAAAGGTGCAGCAAAACTTATCGGCGGCATGGTACTTTTCTTGATTGATTGATTGATTTGTGGGGTTTAACGTCCCAAAACCACGATATGATTATGAGAGACGCCGTAGTGGAGGGCTCCGGGAATTTCGACCACCTGGGGTTCTCTAACGTGCAACCAAATCTGAGCACACGGGCCTACAACATTTCCGCCTCCATCGGAAATGCAGCCGCCGCAGCCGGGATTCGAACCCGCGCCCTGCGGGTCAGCAGCCGAGTACCTTAGCCACTAGACCACCGCGGCGGGGCATGGTACTTTTCTTCCCGAGCCCCAGTACAGCATGTGCGCGAAGGAGTCAGGCGTGAGATGCTTTTACCCCTATACATTGCTTTGCAAGAACATGATGCCGATGTCACCTGCATTTTTTTGTTGAAGTTATTTTAAGCTCATATATGGGATTAAAACGAACACAGATCACGAAGGTTCACATGAAAGCAGAACGTTTCAGCTCAAGCACGGGAGCCTTGTTCACAACGAAAAATTACACAGCCAACTTATGCATGTTTTAAAATATGGCATGGCATTACGCGCGCTTGCGTTGGGAGTGGCCGTGATTACGTATAAGCGTTCAATCACGCCGTAGTCTTGATTGTCACAGATTCAAGATAAATCTGACAAGTCAAGTTTTCTTTTTTCTTTCTATTTCCGTTATCTTTGTCCAATGCCACTACTTCGTGACCAGTTTTGCCTTTGTGTGTTCGGCCCCAGCGCGTTTGATGAAGCCTTTTCCCATCACACACCGTGCTGCTTTAGTCATGGCTGAAGGGCCAGTCTCGCCCAGGTAAACCTACATTTTGCCTCCGGTGTCCATTCTAGAGTCCTCATGTAAGGCGTTTTTTTTCCCTATAAAAGAGCCAAATGCAGAAACCGAAACACGGCCAAATTTCATTGGACCGTAAAGCACGCCTAAGTATCTTCAATTTCTATAACCAAAATGGTGCACTGACTTTATTGTAACAAGAGCTCGAAAAGGCAGTTCCTAATCAAAAATGAGCCAACTATTCCAACTGTTTCAATCAAAGTGAGCCACATTCATCAAACCAGCACTGTGCCAACAAACATGATCAAAACAGCCAACATGATCCCACCCAAAATGTTTCATTTGTGTCTTAGTTGCTTTGTTCTCGTGCTTACGTTCCACAATTAGGTTTTCTAGCGCGAGTTCACGCTCACTGAAGGACGTGATGTTTAATGACAAAACTCGATTGTAAACAGTAATAGCTGACTTGCCTATATATACTTCTCCTTGCATCTTAGTCATTCTTTTTCACTTTAGCGCAACAGTATCTTGCCCTCAGTTCACTCCAACACGGTGAAATAAAATAGGCATGAAATAAAGACATCGAGCGTCTACCTATTCCCTAAAGAAGAAGAAGTGGTCGGAACCGGCATGGCATAAAACTAACTGGAACACTTTTCAAGGCCTTCAATTGATGCCAGGAACAAGAAAACACTGGTGGCAGTCCAGAATAGTGTCCCTTTTTACCAGGAAGGCCACTCGCTCTTCAAGTCTAGTAATCGCCGTTACGACCATGCGTCGAAGCACGGCAGCGACGGAAGCAAAAGTATGATGTCAATTCTATGGCGAAATATTGCTATACCGTACATTCGAACCGTTTGACACTTATTTCACGAGCTAATTAATGTCCAAATAAATTGTTTCGATCTACATGAGCCAAACACAAACTTTACTCCACAATACTGACAATATTTGGCTATGTAGATTTTAGCCACAATATATATCTGTGCTGTCTAGGTGCGAGGAACATCTTGGCGAAAATTTGTTTGAGCAGGCCGAACCATATTGTCAGTAGAAAAAAAAGTGGGGTTTTCTCAGTCTCATTTAAATTGCATTTGGATCTTTTAGAAAAAAAAATGCCTCATGTGTTTTCCTGATTACGCGTGTTTGCGTCCGACTGTCGATTTCAGCTCTCGGGGTTCTTTGTTCGTAGTTATGTAAGTAAAATAAGTCCACAGTGTCACTTGTTCTCCTCGTCGTTTCAAGCTATATATGTACACGCGAAAACGTGGCCAGCTTCAAGCACTGATTCGCTGTTCTGTAAAAACTCGCAGAATCCCTGAGGCATTCGCCTAAAACGACTGGAAAGCGAAAGCCATCTGGTATGGCTATATATTACCTTGTAATTTACATCACTCGTACGACACTTTTTTTTTTTCGTAACCCGATCGCCGCAAAGACGAAGTGAACGCACAGCTCGTGCGGTCACGCAATGTTTATTTGCTTCATTTCTCTCACGCTGCTCACGCCGGCTTTTCGTTCGAGGTCACGTTACATTGTCACATATAAGGCTCTAGTATAGACGGAATCGAAAAAAAAATATCGTAACATAACTGTCGCAAATGCAGCAGAATCATAAACACAGTTTATGGGGTTTAACGTATATGGAAGCGAATCGGGCTTTATTTCATAATGAATGTCTCCGGGTGACTTCACCCCCCTTGGGGTTCTTTAACGTGCACTGACGAGAAAGCACACATCATCTCCACCGAACCTGGACCACAACCTGTGAGTGCACCACGGCGGCTACAATCGTGCGCACAAGATATAAAGCGGTGCAGATCACGACAACGTCGTAAAAAGATGGCAGGAACGGGCACATTTTAGCTAACGTGCACCCTTGCGCTGCACTCGAGGGTTTTATTTTCGATACCCCTTTCTTAAATCCTGTCCTAATCATAACACAGCCGCTACCGCGTCGTAATCGAACTGGCGTTCACCAGTGCAACGTCGTATACCATCACTTGACCATCGCTGCCGCAGGTGGGGTGATTTCATTGAAGCTATAGTAAGATCTTCCTGGACTATTCAGTAAGATTAGTTGTCTTTTCGACTATGTTTTTGCAGTTTCTCTATTCCCATTAAAAACTCAACACCTATATATATATATATATATATATATATATATATATATATATATATATATATATATATATATGCTTTTCTTCATCTTAATATTGCTCGTGGGCGTCATGCCCACGGTAGCGTGACTCCATCAAAAGAATAAGCTTTTAGGTACCCTTCATCCTTTATTATGCTCGATAAAAAATGATGTCGTAAGATAAAGAAAAAAACTAAGAAAATTACAGCTTATCTTGCTCGGGGCTTCAGGCGTGAAGATACGGTCGTATAAACTATAGCTCTGTTGTTCTGCTTGCACGCGCGATTCGTATGGGTAAAGCCGCCGAGTTACATCACGTACTACTGTATAAGGACCGTTAACGGGTACAACGCAATCCGTGGCCCGAAGGTTGAAAGGAAACTCCACTAAATCACACGGAGCTCGGCTTTCTTCCCCAGCTCGCGCATTAGTCGTGCACGCAATGCACGATGGTGCTGTCTATAGGCGCAATGCCTCGTGAGCGGAAGTCGGACAAATAACTCTTAGCTTAGTCCGCCTGGGGACCGGAATTTTTTCGCACGCTTTGCGAAGCGTATTGTTTTCTTCTTTTTTAATTTATTTGCTGTTGAATGGGGCACAAAATTCAAGCGTTTTTGAACTTCGAGACAATTCCGAAGATCGCGGTCGACGCTTTCAACAGGTTCGTTTCGAAAACCTTTTGAGCGAGCCGCCATGTCATTCTCTGCACTACTGTCAAGTAAATCGTCATACGGTTTCACACTTTTATTTTAGTTCTTTATGTCCCTAATGGCGGGGAGACGAGCTGTATGTCTAATAGCATGCGAAACTATAGTGAAGTGGAAGGTATTTTAATATATTCTAGTTCACTATAGCAAAACTCTTCGTTCTAAGCGAGCTCTCGCTCTTTGTGCAGCCATTTTAATCGACTGTGACCTCGTGAGTAAGCGACACCTCACGAAACACAGCAGAACCAGTAAAAGAGAATAAGGATTAAAGCAAACGACTGATTTTTGTCGGTCATTCTCGTTTTTGCCCCAGAAACCTACTCAACAATAAATGACGATAGTTATAGCGCGAGGAGAAAACGACGACACAGAGACAAGAAGGACACGAAGGACACTGTGGTCTCTGTGTCGTCGTTTTGTTCTAGCGCTATAACTATCGCCATGCCATACCAACTAGCCCAAGCTGCCACACTCAACAATAAAGTAGAGTTTCCCTACAAGCCAATGTATAATTATAACTTGATACCATTTATGCATTCATGAACGAGCAAGGTGTTGTGCCATTCTTTGCTCTCATGTTTTAAATTTTAGTGAACGTGTTTTCACGGCGCTGCTGCGTATAATAGGAAATGTTTCGGTGTTTTAATGCGGCACGCGCCGTGCTTTGTTATGATTTGGTGTGCTTTTGTGACGGTGGATAAAAAATATTCCTGTGAAACGAAGTTTTACTTGAAGTTAAGACGCCTGCCCTACCAGAATTCCTCTTTGTATTCGTCTTCTCACTGCCATCAAAGTAAACATTCAACAAGTAGTCAGAAAGGGTACATACAGGGGAAACGATTTTGTTTTAATTGAATCACAGAAATAATGAAAGGCTATTATGTAGCAGCTGCATTTAGATTATATACGTATTACCGAACGAACTTAAAGCCAACAGACGCCAATGGACGGGACGAGCAAAGAGCATGTACTCGCTCAATCGCAGAGCCGTTATATCTCTAGCTACAAGTGCTTCGAGACCGTATTCTGAGACCACTACTTCTAGAGATATCACTTTCAGTGCATGCTGACAGGCTGTTCGAGGGTAGGCGGGAAAGTAGTCACTTCAGTCATAGGTCACGCGAGATAATAATATACGTCACGCAAAGCGACAGTGTCACCAAAAGTCATTGTGTGACAATACGGCCCCCGGACTCAGCCCTGGGTAAAGGTTACCCCGCCCGCTTAATATGTGTGGGGTTTACCGTATACGCGTTCAGTATCGTTTAGATGAAAAAAAAAGCAAGGCTTGCGCAATTACCTGATCAATGATGGCCTCCCGGAACTGCCTCAGTACAGCATTGTAGTCGCTGAAGACAAACCCGAGGGAGCTGCCACCTGTCGACATGACTCCTATCCTTGGCTTTTCTGGAAGAAAAAAAAAGAACAGGGACGTATGGAGAAAACGGCGAGCAACATGGCGATCTCGGAGCAACAGCTGCTTGTTTTTCATTTCATAGCACAATTAAACACGTACGCCCCACCGCGGTGGTCTTAAGGCTGCTGACCCGCAGGTCGCGGGATCGAATCTCGGCAGCGACGGCCGTATTTTCGATGAAGGCGAAAATGCTGGAGGCCCGTGTGCTCGGATTGCATGGAGTGCACGTTAAAGAACCGCAGGTGGTCGATATTTCCGGAGCCTTCCACAACGGCGCTTCTCATACTCACATGGTGGTTTTGGGACGTTAAACCCATATATTAATTAATCACAATTGAGCACATTATTATTATTATTATTATTATTATTATTATTATTATTATTATTATTATTATTATTATTATTATTATTATTATTATTATTATTATTATTATTATTATTATATCACGTGCGAAGGGCACCACTAACTCGACACAAGACCGAACGAAAGAAAAGAAAGTAGCATTGGTAATTGTCTCCGAAAAGGCAGGCACATCACACCTACCCGCACCTTCGCTGCTCGAGCTACTGGGTTCGACTCATAGCTGAACCGGGCACCCACCATATTTTATACTCTTGCCTAGCATAGGTGTCTTCTATCACTTTCTTCGCTATACTTCTATCTTAAGGAATTAGGTTAAAATCCTTCCCCTATCTCCCGCTCTTTGTAAACTTCCCTGCACCCAACCCAGCCGTTTCCACTGCTCCCCTTTTTTTAATTTATTTTCTTTAGTACCGTCTCTCATTTATTTATTTATTTATTTATTTATTTATTTATTTATTTATTTATTTTAGCTAAGGATGATAACCGTTTTTGACAAAGACAGGTTCACCTATTGAAACGTACACCGGCCCAACTGTCAGACCTCATTCCAGGGTCTATAACCTTTATAGATATGCTTTGATCCACTGACTTCCACCCCCACTTTGGGTGTCTTTTACTTTGCATCACGCTTAACAATATATACGCTTCTCTCCCAAGTCGAGTACGGTGTCTGTTGTGACACGAGGAGCGAAAAATGGTAGAAGTAGATAACAGGAAACGACGGTGACAGAAAGGTAAAATAAAATAATAGGAAGAGGGTGTATGTCTAACGAGCCGCTGTCACGGGGAAAGGGCGTTGCGCGGCGCGGCGACAGGTCGCGGGTTCGATTCGCGGCGGCTGCGTTTCACTGGACGACGTAAAGCACGTCACAACTTCTTCTGCATATATTAATAGACGGATGGGTCTAAATTAATACGAATATTTCTACTAATATATTCATTACAGGTAGCTCAAAACTGATGACATTTTGGCTACTTCGTATCAACCTCTGCAGCGCGTGCTGTCGCTGATAGCGGTTATCTCGATTTCGGAAGGCACAATAGAAGCAGCTACCAAGCATGCGACCTTTTTTCTGGCACACAGCCACAACCAGGGGCGCCATTATGCGGACGTCCTCATTAGGCTGCGTCTCTTTTCGCTCTATCTATATATTACAACGTAGCAGCGTTCTTCACGTATCTTTGACAGCTTGCTATGGCAAACATTTGCGACGAACAACCGCGTACGAATTGGACGCTCCGGCAGGTGTCAAAGGAGAAAGTTCCTCGCACACTAGTTGGTTTGAATTGAACTAGCAACGTGCTGCACAACCACAACAGACAGAAGGAGAGAGACAGGACAGTGCGCAGATTACCACTGTTTAGCGGCGTGAAACCGAAGCGCCAATGAAACAATGCCACATGCGCCACCCACTACACGAAACCAAACATACGCTTTGAAAAGACGTGCGCGATTGCAGCAATTTGCATACCGATTAGCAAAACAAGCTCAAACGCAGCTTCATTTCAACTCGAAAACGGGCAAAACGTGCCCCATGTCTGCCGCCTCAGTCGACTCCTCAACTTGCGTCGCAGATATCAGCCACACAGTTCGTTGTCGCCGTTCAATCGGGATAGAAAGCAATCAGGAAGACAAACCATGGCGTTTAAACTGTTTGGATGCACCGCTTGTGCCAGTCGATGGAGCGTAGAAAGGAAGAGGCACGAAATACACTTTCTGCGCTCTAGAAAAGCAAATTAAGAAGCGCTGCGACTAGATTACCAGAAACAACATCGAAGGAAACAAGTCATATACCACTCAGTCTACGTGCGATAACAGTCTTTCGTTATCGAATCGATACCTGCGGCTCCCGAGGAAATGCACTACACTCACAAAATTGAAAACAAAAAAAGTCGCACACAGAAATACACGACAAATAACAGTGGGAAATACAGGAAAGAAAAAAAAATGTTCGTGGGACAACTGCACTTGAATAACGGACATGATTGATTGACTGATATGTGGGGTTTAACGTCCCAAAACCACCATATGATTATGAGTGACGCCGTAGTGGAAGGCTACAGAAATTCCGACCTCCTGGGGTTCTTTAACGTGTACCCAAATGAATAACGGACATGACCCCATGACCAATCTGCACCTGCCAACAGCTTAACTACGCATTTCCAATGTTTTACTAACTCACTTCTCGCACACGAAAAGACGGCAGATGACAGGAGAGGTATCCTGACACTGCTCAATAAACAACAACAAAAAAAAATAGTCTCAGCACATTTGTTCTTGCGTTCGCGTACATATGACAACTTCAGTGCTCGCAGTACCGGAGCAAGTCAGCTATCACATCGTAACCGCATGACACATGGTTACCGAAGTGTGAATTGGCTCGTATATAAGAACAAGCGTTCTAGTGAACAGTTTAATGAGGAGATCTGGCGCTTTACAGCGTACATTTTAAGGTTTAGAGCGTTTAAGCCTAATGGTGGACTCAGTACCCGCACACGGTATACGTGGCCTTACAGGAGCATCAGCTCGTCCGTGCGCGCTTGTATGCGTGTGTGCGAATTCTATGTATGCTACAGCTTCTCTTCCTAAGGTATACGAAAAACCGAGTCGTATTATAGAATATAACACAGTTGTGGTTTATCTCTGTAACGTCCGATGCATAATATATGCCTGCAACGTCATTTAGATACCTCAAATGCATGATTTAAGCGAAGGATATTTGACGCATAGCCTATTGCAGTGTTTGAAACGCGTTGGCAAAAATTTCAGTCCTGTAATATTCTCAGCAATGTTAAGCTACGATCCATTAAACTAGGAATCAGGTACTACAGATATTAACTGAGAAACACATTTTGCCGTATAAATACCCCTCAGAAATGTATACTTATACCCGGCTAAAAATAAAAGGAACAATTTGTTAAAAATTTTCTTAACGTTGATATAAGCTTTATTGTTACAGGGTTACAGCATACGTATCTAAACACAGTATGGATTCGAGTAACCATCGCATTTTCTCCTATTCTCCTGCATGCAGCGGTCGACGTCCTTTTCCCGAGACGATAACACCTCTTATCAGAATGGAGCCTCTTCTTTATCGCTGTGAAATACCCTTCAGTTACAAGAGCTGCAAATCGCGTCCGTTTCAGGGTCATCTGAATGTTTCCACGATAGCTGGATGGCGCATACACCTGACCCTTCGCAGGGAGAGCGCTGAAGCGCGACGGTTCGTGGCTGAGCGTTGCCATGACAACCAACACGGCCGCTATAATGCATACATATGATCACAATGCCACAAGACGAAGCCTCCACTGCTTCTGTAATGGCAATGCGATTGCACGCACAGAACAAACTCTGTACGTATATACGCTGCGCGAGCTTCCCTTTTCTTTCACATTGCGACGAAGGTTGGAACTGCAATGTATGCGCATTACAATATGTGAGTCTTGCACAAGTAAAACAAGACTGTATATGTACGCCAAGAAACCCCGATCAATCGTAACGAATTCGAAGTCGCCAGCATGCCTACACTCTCACGTGCACTAGTGTGCGCTTGTTCTCAGGAGAGTCCTGGCACGACCGCGTTCGAGTCTGTCTGAATGTTCAGTCTATCATACTGCGATACTCAAGCGATACGAACCCTATAAAGCAGGGCTCTCGAGTACGCGGCCCGCACCGGCCTGCAGATGACTGTCTTCGTCCCATGTGTATATATCATCTTTCTATTAGGTATGTTCACAGGCCACATAGAAGCGACTGGTCTCCAACATATTTTCTTTTCCTGAGGCACCCCAAGCAGTCGCCTTGTGTTATACAATGTTAAAGAATCAGCGAATTTCAGTAGTTGACAGAAAAACACTTCTAATTAACAGATATAAAGTTCGAGACTGTCTAATCGGACGTTTTGCGAACAGATCTACAACTTTCTCGTTGAAACTTTTTATCCGCCTTCGCTTCTTCAAAAGTTAGTTAATTTAACAGATATAACTGAGCAATATTTCAGGGCACAAAAATAGTCTGACTAACTCCAGGCAACGGTCAGCAACACGCATTTGGTCGCGTCGTAATTGCATGTGTCCTCGGCATATTTTCATACTCTGGCGAAAAGTACCTGGAGCACCCTATATATATATATATATATATATATATATATATATATATATATATAATTGATTGATTTGTGGGATTTAACGTCCCAAAACCACCATATGATTATGAGAGACGCCGTAGTGGAGGGCTCCGGAAATTTCGACCACCTGGGGTTTTTTAACGTGCGCCCAAATCTGAGCACACGGGCCTACAACATTTCCGCCTCCATCGGAAATGCAGCCGCCGCAGCCGGGAATCTAACCCGCGACCTGCGGGTCAGCAGCCGAGTACCTTAGCCACTATATATATATATATATATATATATATATATATATATATATATATATATATATATATATATATATATATATATATATAAGGGAAAGAAGTGTATACCTAAGGGCTCGTTTTTCCGTGTTTTAACACAATGTTATGAGATCTAACAGGCAGTAATGCCAAGGAATGTGCAGGGAAATTATTAGAACCAATGGAATGTAAATAAAAAGAAAGAAAAGTGGATGAAAGAATAACCAGCCATG